TAAAATTACTTCATTAATGTCACAACAAACATGTAAAATGTATAATGCTTATATTTAATTTTACGGTTTTGCTATGGGTACATCGGGATGTACATCGGGGTGTACATCCCCCTCAAATGGGGATGGGTCCCGCTAAAATAAAAAAATATTTTACATAGTGGGGTCCACTCCCATGTGAGGGGAATGTACACCCTTATGTATGAATGTTGATGTACAAGTAGAATTATTGTTAATTTTATTATCAACATTTATTTTTTAATCGACAAACAAATTATTGTCGATTTATCTAATTAAATAAAGTATATTTATATTATTCACAGGGTTAAGAGTACACATTCTAAGTTGAAGAAAAACCTTGGATCATTACAAGGTGATTTTGAAAATTCATGGAAAGTTATGCATCACCTATTGGAATTGCTATTCAGTGAGATAAAAGCTTTGTTTGAACAAAGCATGAATTTGGTTTAACATAACTTCAAACGTAGCCTTTTTAAGGAATTGTGTGGTTCCGTGTCTAAGAATGCAATGAATCTTATAGCAAGATAGTTAAATCAAGCAGAACATATTGGTTTGGACAAAAATGCTTCATTGCACTCTTAGATCCACACATGGTTTGCCACGTGCATGTGAGATTTCAGAATATATAATTACAAGTCGCCCAATTCCTTTGTCAGTCGTTCACCCTCATTGGAGAAAAGTAGATATTATGGTTCCATCAAATGATACTTCTTCTAAGTTGAATATTGTAGTTGAATTAGAGAATATTGAAAGATTGTTTAGCAAATGCGAAGATACAGGTAAAGTACTTCTTACAATAAAATTACGAGAAATGTATGAAGCCTCCACTACTTTTTTGGTGCCGCTTGCTAAGAAAGTTAAAACCAAAGGCCGAACTTCATCAAAAATTAATACTTCAACTAAATGGGGTCGTTCATGTTTTGAATTGTTGACTCAGGTAATAATAGTGATTTTCGTAGCAACGACAGCTCCGCCAATGTTCCAAAGAAGGATAAACTTAAAGTTAGGTGTCCTCGTAAGAACACTTTATACCACTACACAACATGTTTCCATGACAAAGTCAAAGATTGCATATTTAACATTGTTGATGTTAAGTACGATGGTCATTGTGGTTTTAGGACAGTGGCTAGTTTCCCTTGGATTTGGAGAAGAGGCTTGGTTACATATTCGACGTGACCTTATTATTGAAATGAAATCTAATTATAATGCTTATGAAAAACTATATGGCAGCAGTGAAAGGGTGAATGAGTTGTTATATATTGTGGATTACTTTAATATCGATGCTCCATTTGATCAATGGATGACGATGTTATATATTGTGGATTAATTTTAATATTGATGCCCCATTGGATCAATGGATGACGATGCCTGACATGGGCCATTTGACAGCACCTCGATATGGTGATGTATTTGTCCTTCTATCTTCTATAGAATGTTTGACACTCCTATCATTGCACTCTCAACCTCCTCTACCATTCAATCATAAGATTATATCATTGGGTTTTGTGAATGACAATCACTTTGTTCAAGTATTCTATTTTAGTTATTTAACCATATATCATTGGTGTAAACTTATTGCTACTAATTTGATATATCACTTGTACAGGTCAACTTGAAGCCCAATTGTCCAATTCCACCGTGACGTATAATTGGCACAAATATAGAGATGCCATTGCACGTGAATGGGAGAGTACGTATAAAGCAAGAATAGGAACATTCAAAGAGATGATTGGTACTGATATCGCTACGCGGGAGATTTTTAATGTAAACTCTCCATAATTAGTACGAGTATCGCATAAGGGGTCAAAAGAGGATTTTGATAAACTTCTTGCATGGCTAGAAACTTATTCAATTTCATTATTCCTTGTTTCTTGTAATGAAAATTCAGCAACATCAGGATCTAACAACTGATAGTGAATCGCTATAAATCAATGTACTTTGCGTCTTTCTAATTTTCCTTTATTTGTTATTGTTTTTGAAATTAAGGAACCAATTATTCAATGGTAGAGCTAAAGGATGGAACCAATATAAGGGTAAAGATTTTTAACCTTCCTATAAAGGTCGTGACCAGAAACCAACCTAAACAATTAAGCGGGCATTGCGGGCATCACATATAATGACAGTTCATCAAAGAAAGGTAAGAACGATGCCTTGAACATTTTGATCAAAGTTCCCAAAATGTATAGCAAAACATAATCACCAATGAGATAGCCGATTTTTCACTTTACCTACCCCTTAACGTGTGTTTGCATTTCCCTGTCACCTTTCCTATCCAACCCAATTCTTTCTCATTAATCTCCAACTTGAGCACCGTCCGAAAAAATTCATTGGTCAATCAAATCACGAAGGAAAAAGGAAAATCCAATCCAAAGCTTTCATTATCTTCCGAATTAAAGAACAACAACCAATCAAAACCCAATTAGAAGAATAAAATCAACAAAATTAAATTAGATTATTGTTCTACCACAAACATAAATCTAATTTTTCTAAACTTTTCCATCGACGGCAATACTACCTAAGTAGAGAATTCCTTTTCCATGTGTTCATAAGTATTGTGTATCAAGTCCATACATATAAAATGTGATTAAATATCCAGTTGTCACTAAAATAAATAAATGAGAAAATAAATAAATTTAAAATGAAAAGTCATCAAATTCAAAACATAAAAAAATTTAGAAATTTATAATTATTAAACTCGTTTAAAAATTGGGAAAAAAATAATAAATAAAAAAAATTGATTCCAACATTGAGTTTTTTCCTAATTTTTAAAATTTCGGATTGGATTATCGGATCGGATATTCAATAACATAGCAAAATGGATATGGATTCAACAAATAATTATTCTTATCGGATTGGATTATCGGATCAAATAATTATTCTTATCGAATTGAATCTGATATAGACAAATTCGGTCCATATCCAATCAATTTACAGCCCTAACCTTAATTCTGTTTCCACTGATCAATTATTTCCTTTATGATTCTCTGGGCCAATGACAATGGTGTAGTTATCCAATCGTTGACATTCATCCATGGTTGAACTCTTCGTGTGCTGTTTAATTAATGAGTTTGATTTGTATTTGCTTAATTGCTGCAGTTGGAACGTTTGCTTCGTATTCATTGATTTGTAGGACATAAAGGATTGATAAATATGATGAGTAAAATACGAGGATGAGTACACCACAATATCGTATTTTATTTTTAATTTTTATTATATTAGGAGTATAATTGTAAATTTATTGAAAAAATATTTCAATTGTGGTGTGCTTATAATGTGGTGTAGTAATTAAATTGTGGTGGTAATATAATTTGCTCGTTTGCTCTAATGCTATTTTGAATCTTATCTTCAACGGAATGAATGCAGTGATAGCTAGTCGTGTAGAACATTTTTAAACGAGAGTATAATGTCATCGACGTCATGAACGAGGCCTTCGGAGATATATTAGTATTATTGTGAAGAATCATGCTACAAGTACATTAATTTTGACATCAACTTTGACATTATGCTACGTGTCGGAGCATGATTGGACAGTTTTTAAACACCACACAATTTCCCGCCCATTTGCATTTGATTTCACATGGAGTGTCAAACTCCATGTGAACCATGGAATGTACAACAAGCCAAATTCTATTGTGAATTTTTTATAAAGTATTTCAATTCAAGCGATGCACTCTACTAATATTTTGATTGAATCACGATAATTTTTTCACACGCTAAAAGGCTTGTATTTATAAATGAATTATGCTAATTGTACATTTCATGGGTTACATCTTGATATACATTATGTGGAAATTCAAAAAGTGTTGGACAGGAAATTGTGTTTTTGTTTTAATTGTCCAATCATATACTGACACGTGACACAACGTAAAACAAAATGTACATACATAACTATTGAAAATAAATACTGTTAGAGATGATGTCAATCTCATTGTAAATAAATTTCGTAACCTAGTTGAAATGATCACGTGTTCTTGGAGGATTAAAAAGAAAAATGAAATTGTGCATTTTGGCCAAAAAATCAAAGACAGCGCATTCAATCAGCTCACGGCACCCAATTGTAGATGAGTACAAGATTAGTCAAAATTGCCGTCTTTTTCAATAAACACGCTTCCTTTGCAATGACCGAATTAGTCCTTGCTTCGTTTGAATTGCCAGAAACAAAATTTTCCATTCGTTAAAAGTGTTTAATTAATTGCATAGTTACATATAACGATGAAATAAAAAAAATTATAAATAGCAAATGGTAGCTAGTTAGGGAAGGAAAGTTGGGTGAGTAGCTCGTCGAGCAACGATATTCGTTTATGCAATCCTAGTGAATCAATTCGTCTGCTTGTGCGTGAGTCTGCTCAGCTCGACTTGTCCTACCAAAGGTTGAGCCGAGCAACTCAATTCACCCCATTTCCCACCTTTATAGTTCATGGAGTTGAAGGGGGGAGGCAGGTTGGACCACACCCTTTTTTTATTAGCGCAAGTTTGAAGTCGAATATAACATTTCATGTCAGCATAACAATTTTTTAGACGAAAATCGTGAGTTGCAATAAAATGCATCTAAATCATGAAAGGTTAATGTATGTACTCTCTAGCTTCAAGAATGTTATTACGTCTTTTCGCCACACGACTATAGATTAAGTGTCTGCTTGCCCCCATTATTCAATATTACAATAAGTGGAATAATAATTTTTTGGAGAATGTGTGAATAAAAAAGAAAGAATTTTTTTTTTTTTTCATGTAATATTATTTTATTGAAAAATATGAGGACGATAAGACGATAGAAAAAATGAATTATAATTTAATGGGGCCAAACAGGGCTAAGCTTAATGTCGTGTAAGGATATAAATGGAATTATAAAATTTCTAATACGCACTTGCTTCTATTAGTTTTTCAACTCCATTGACCATAACTAGTATAAATGGATGTCAGCTAGTAGTTCCACACCACATTCATTACAAAACAAAACGTAGTGCAAAAATTTATTATTCGACATGGAAGGCTTAATCCCATTTCTCCTCCATGCCATGAAGAAACAAAGGCCTCAACATTCTTACCGGTCCCTCTCCGAGAACTCCACCCGCAGCTACCACCTGCTCATGGCAGCCGGAGAGTCGGTCGAGGGCTCATCTCACCGGAGAACACGATCGGAGTTTCAGCCACCGAGCATCAATTTCCTAGAGCAGCGATCGGGCTTGGAATACTTTTCCCACACGAAAAGTTTCAGCAAAGGTTACAAGTCCTCTCCTTCTAATGTTGATAATGGCTTGAGGCATAGGGATCCTATTTCTACCACTAATTTCAAGAAGTAAATGTGAAAAGGAATTGGAAGCCAAGTTGACGAAGATGTTAAAGTACTAGATATATGTTTCATAGTGGTTTTTAGTTCATTTGTTCATTGTTTGAGTTCAAAAAAATCTTTATAGAATGGTAGTTTGTGTAGACGAAATGCTTTGAAGAATTGAAAATAAGCTTAGATTTAGATTCACAAAGCACAAAATCATGTAATATTTTGGTGTAACGAAGTGTATATTTGATTCATATTTCATATGTAGATATTAATATTGTTTAAAATGTGTATCGATTTAAAATTGTGCAATATATTTTGTTTTTCAATAACTATTTCAGCCAATTTCGCTGGAAAAAATTGCAAAATAATTTTTATTTCTTTAGATAAATGTGCACTTGAGGTTCTCCTTCAATTTCCAAGCGAATTAATTGCTTTTTCGTTTTTATTTGAAGTAGACAAATTAATTTTGTTAAATGTAACTCTTACTTTAATACAAAAATAAATAACTTATTAATAATTATCAATAATATGTTATTTAATTTTAAAAATTTATTTGAAAAATAAATTTGTTTAGAAAGTGAATATTTTAAGCTTAACCAAATATGCAGTAGTGCCAAAATGTGCAGCCAGCAGCAACCAGGTCACTATTGAAACAAAATGCAATAAATCTGAGTACAAAAAAAATTGTAGTTCAAGACACATAATTGTAACTTGACTCCACAGCAAACTGATAAAAGAGGATTCTGGGTTTTGCGGGGATTAAGGGAATGTTGTTTCAAGTTTGAAGTTGTAATGCAATCCTAAATTAGAGCAACCGAATGGTTATGAAGCCAAGAGAGCTTCAATTTTGGAAATCTGATCTTCTTCATTCTTCGGAGTTGGACTCCTATTCGACTCCTCATAAAGATCATGCTTCCATTTCTCAACACGACCAGCAGTTGGACGATCGGTTTGCCTTGTACCGAATCTATCTCTACCCCTGAGACCACTGCTGGCACCATATCCATCTCTCGATGAGTTACCCCTCCATGTCTCACCCCTTTTTGCCTCCCTCTCCCCCATGAATGATCTCTCAGGTCTGTCGTAATTACGAGAGACGTTCTCTCGTTCAACTCGTCTTTCATTGTCTACGGGGAGATCTCGAGAGTTTGTGATTCCTTTGTCAGTTTTATCGGGAACTGCCGGAATCTTTTGCTCTCTAAAGGAAGGCTTTTTACGTACAGGTGGTTTTTGATCAGCCTCCATTTCAAAGTACCCATCATGGCGCCATACTCGATTGTCTTCCCCATTATCATTATCTTTAGCTTTCTCGACCTTTTGCTCTGTATCATTGACTACTGCTTTCTTTTCGATCCTATCACTATGCTGCTCCTTGTGATCTCTCCTCCATCCACGTTCTTCACAAGAAAAT